CCGTGTTTCCTGAACTGCACGAGAATTCTGTCGACTGTTGAAAGCGGGATTCCTAAATTCTGCAAAATTTGCCGCTGACTTATTCCACCATCTGCTTGACCAACTATCCTTTCTCTAACAAAATCTGACAATTCGAGAGAACCTTGAGTTCTAGGCATGTTGTAGCACAAGATAATTAGTGTGCAGACCATTTTCATTTATATAGTGCTCTGTGAACACAAATTAGTTTGCATAAGTCAGTTAAATGACGAAAAATTAGGTGTTTATTTACTTGTGACCACTCAGTGTACATTATGATCTCAATTTATGAGAGCACACAACTCAAAGGAAATCGTGCCTTTTTGTATAAGTAATTATTTTTAAACTAATAAACCATGTATTTTCTTATAATTACTATAAAAGCTCAAACTATTGCAACTTAAACTAATTAGATACTGGTGTATCAGTGTAGAATTACAGGATACAGTTCATTTTCACCTGGACAAATTGTTACTGGAGAAGTTTAAGACAACTAAAACCTGTGGAAAACTTGAGAGTAGATTACTTTGTGTAAAGAAAGTTGGTATTCTAGAAAGTAATAGGCTTAATAATCGCGATAAAAATTACGATATATTATGCTTTGCCAGCGTTTGGAGTTGAAAATAGCAGCTTGGAATTTATAATTAGTAATATTTCGTAACTTGTTGTATTTTTTGTTTTGTGGATTTAAATTTTGCTTTTTTCTTATTGCAAAGCCCAAAGCTGCTCTGCCCACACCGAGTATCGAAACCAGATTTTTTAGCGTTAGAAGTTTTCAGAACCATCGAGGGTTTCGATCTAAATACATAATCTTGTCAAGATCAGTTGGTTACTCCTTAAATGTGACACGAGCTTTGCAGCATTACTTTAACACGTGGCATGACCCACTCAACATGTTTTGAGTGATAACTCAATGCCTATAAACATTAATGCACGTGATATGGTAAAGTGTAAACCCGTGCAAGGTGCCAAAAGTCGCCAAATAAGTGAATTTGTAAAAAGATCGATTATCGATACATAAATTAATCATTGTGTGATTCGCGCAATATGCTTTCCACGATACCATTAAAGATTACGGGGAAATTCACAGTTCAACGTATAAAAAGCATTCACATCAGCGAGGGGTGTACAAAAACCTCTGTAAGATCTAGTCTGGATAGAAAAATCTCCACGAATAAGAGGCTTGGAAATTGCAAAACTCATGCGTACTTAGCATTGCGTTGCTTAGTGAAAAGTACCGTGTAGCTGTTGGACTGATTTTAATACCATATAAGTATGTTTGGGTCATGTTTAGATGCTTATCGTTTAGCGGAATATAGAAACTTATATTTGTGAAACTTACCCGTAACTAATAAAAAAACAAAAAAAAACATCACCTATATAAATGCCACTAGGTGATGCTGAAAACCAAAAATCTTCGAAACGTTCACAAATTTTGAAGGGATAAGAGGTCTTTTTGTAAATAGATGTGAATGTATTCCCTGGAGTTCGAGACACCAGTGCGCGATACGAAATTTGACCAAAATATTGAATACAAATAAATTCGTATTTTGCTACAAATTTTAATATTTTAATGTTTCACAGATGGTGCTGGGTATTCCGAAATAAACGTTCACGCGAACATTAACAAACGTTAAAAGGAAATCGCATTTGTTTCAAACGTAATCAATGGCCTAGCGTTGTTAAATACACTTACAATAAATCCTACGAAAACATATTTTTTAGAAGACATTACTTAACAATTGAGAGAAATGAAATCTTACCATCTTGTTGAAGAAACAAACTTTTCTTTCAGTCGTTGGACTGTTTTATAGTGTATCTTTGTTTTTATTTTCTCAGGCCTTCCGTTTCTAACCCGAATGTACAAAATAAGCTTATATCAGGGATGGAAGAAATCCATAATTTTCAAAAAGGTTCTAACTGTCCTTTACAAGATATTAACGACAATGATGAAGCAGTTGGAATTATCACGGTGGAGAACGATTCATCAGATTCACGTACAGAGGTCAATCAGTTTGAGGAAGACCATGAAGAGTCGCACCAGGAGAGGATAAAAATCCCACTGGATTTGAGCAAGACCAGAGAACCAGGTCATTATGCTTTTTTTTATTATTTTAAATATGCACATTCAAATTGACTAATTATTTTAAGCTTTCAATCGAGCCTATCAACGATAGTTATCTTCCTACAAACGAAATCTTGCTCAGATTTACATACCAAGAGGTCTTTAAACTCATTGATAAGCTATATTTTGATTACTTGGATACTTAACCTTTATCTCCCAAAAACAGGAATGAGAAATATTTCGATTTTTCTCAATTTCCTCTGGCGTTAAATAACTTTTAATATCTTAATTGGTCAGTTTTCATGAGAAGAAGTTTAATTATCGAAGTTAAACGAAGAAATCTAATAAAATTAATACATTTTATTTTATTGAAGTTTTCCTTTTCGTGCTTGATTATTAATCAAATAAATGTAAAACCTGGAGAAATTCGAATAGCTGATGCAATTTATTGATAGCAATGGCTGCGTCTAGGTAAGCAATCGCAAAAAGAATGTGATGATCCCCCCTACCTTTTTTAAATGGAATATCTACGAAACTGCTGTTACCAAGTCTAAAGATGTTACATCACACATGTGTATAACTATAGTTTGGTAATGCTAGAAGATAAGCGTATCAAAAACATAAACAAGTGTTTTTATATGATTTAATTAGATGTTGAGGCATTTTCTTTTCCACCTGAATATCATTGTGGACTAAAGCTAGAAAATAATATATTCTCTATCAAAGTTTGCATAAAGAATTTGGAGTCAAATGTTTGTTTTTATAGCAAGGATGCAAATCTACCACACACACTAGTCCTAACAGACAATCTGTGCGATTTTCAGTCTTCATCCGTTGAACGAGTGGACAAAAGTGGATATTTATGGGGTTTTTGTATGAAACGTGGCTGTCATTTTGGTTAAGTACACAATATATAGAGCTTGTCATTATATTCTCAACTTACAGTATCCCGCATTTTACTTTATATTATGAAGTCAGCATAATTAACACCATATTTGCAAAGTTACAAAATTTGGCAGACGTTTCTATTACGGGGGGGGGGGGATAAGTTTATTATGGCTTTATGTTTCACTGAACCACATTTATCTTTGTCATTGTATTTTTAATTGTTGGCATGTGTACAGTTTTTATTTCTAATTATATGCGTCATCTATAAGAGAAAGAGGGTTAATGCTAAGGCTACTTAGAACAAGTTATGAGTTTCATAAGTCGTGAATGAACACTGTCGGTGTTTTAAATGTACGAGTTTCATAAGTCGTGAATGAACACTGTCGGTGTTGTAAATGTATGTACCGGGAAAAATTGTCGTCCTGTTTTTCGTAGAAATGGTCTCAATGACCTGTATTAATTCCTTTTATGAATAAAGATTAGAGACATCGAATTCGGGTGGCTGGAATACTATTTTGTATAGGGATAGCTGCAAATCATGAAGTTATGAGAATAGAACCACGTATATGAGCATTAGATTTGAATTCCTGCTAAACTTACCTTCAATCTAACAGTTCTGTTTAGAAGATTCAGTTGAAAGTTACCGTAACCACATTGCTTCTTGGACGTTAGTTTGAGATGGTTAATGTAACAATAACAGGAAGTATACGGCATTATAATTAATTATAAAACTAATTCTAACACAAAACTCGTTACTGCTCGATCTTCTCTGGAGTATCAGTTTCTGTTGATGATTGGCACTTTCCTTACAAAAATAAAAATACTGAAATAAACTGAACTGTATGTCTTTATATATTAGTAAATTTCTTGCTAATGACATGTTTCATAGACCGAAAAATGAAAGGGAAGTCATATTTCATTCTAACTATACTAACATGCAGTATTAACTTGAACGGTTAGCTAAGTTTAAACTGCGAATAAATTACGTTTTGTTCAAATCATATTACTCATGTTAAAGTCACCACTTGACCAATCTTAGAAAAAAAAAATGTAACAAAATATTTGTTTGCACTGGTAAGTTTAGAGTTCATTCTAATTTTAAACATGTTTATGCAAACCATTTTTCTTCTTTCAATATTACAATAGCACAATTAAAAATTAATGACGTACAATAAACTAATTATTGCGTAGTTACATTTATTGTATGATGTTCTCTACTTTTAGTTAGCTTGTAATTAAGTATAAAGCTAAACAATGGGCTATCTGTGCTTTGCCCACCACGGGTATCGAAACCCGGTTTCTAGCGTTACAAGTCCGCCAATATGCCACTGGGGGGTCTCCACTTTTAGCTATCAAGGTTAATCGAAAAACAGTATGTATAAAGCTATTGCACGTTTTTCTTCGAAACACTCTTCATAGTTTCTTTTATAAATAACTAAGATCTTGATTTTCTCCATAGTGTTTTATTGTTGCTCTTACGTTGCGTCCTTAAAATATTTGGATGCCTTGTGGGTTTCCAAAGCCTGATTAAAGCTAAAAACAAGACAGGATGAAATGTTTGTCTCACCAGTGTGTTAAGAGAAAGACTGGACAAGATTTAGCCTTGAGAGCTTGGAAATCATCAGTATCACTTAATACGTCGTATATCGTGACTGATCATATTTAAACTTTTTTTTTCATGAAAAAAAAAAGTAATCTAACACTGTGTAAAAGTAATACGAAAGGTTAAAACACCATTATGACCTTCCCATACTACCCTCGTGTTTATCAATATATATTATTGCTTAACATTTGCGCTCGTATTACTGTACATCTTAAGCCGTTTCAGCATTTCATGGTAGATATGTTACACCAGGTGCAGCCTCAATTTTCAATTATCTTTAATTTGTATTTATTTATTTTTTTGCTTGTTTTTTTTTTTGTTGCTTATAGAACATTAAAATCTCGTGCATATTGTTTCGAACATTATGGTGTCTTGCTTTTACCTTATCGTCAACTAGACATACTCTAAGAACAGATGTACCCTGTCAAGTAACCTCACTGTGGGACATTGCAAATACATCAGCTGAACAGAAGGAAAACAAATCGTACTGCTCTTAGATGTAAGAAGTATCATTTATGTAACTAAATGGGATTCAACCAAAAACAGTAATACAACAATCTTGACGTATCCATTAATATTAAACCTACAAATCTGTATAAAAGACGAAGACGATATTTCTTAATTGTCACCATCAACTCATCTTCCGATACGTGTTTGAATTTTTTTTTATCATTATGAATGTAAATCTAGGTTCTAGAATCTGCTATTTCTTAAATGCAACGTATATATTACGAGTTATCTAACGATTGGCATGCCTGGACTATGAATACGAGATTTGAAGTTCGTGTCTCGTCTTATGGCGTTCTGCACTTTGGGGTCGTGGGCGCCCATTAAGAATGACGAGCATACCCCACTTTCGTTCATGCAAGAGGTGGGTGGGTGCTGCTCACTAGCTGTCTTTTCTCTAGTCCATTATTTCAAAATCTACCTTTCTGAAAACCAAATCGAACGGGATAGCTTCAGAACAAATGTTATTCTGCCTTTTGTAAACAGCTAAAGATAACTTCATTTGAGTAATATTCTCCTATGAGAAACGCTTAGCTCATATGAAGGTTAATGAAATTCTGATATGCACATAAAATTCGCAATGTCAAGTTTGGAAATGATACAACATTGACAGAAGTAAATGCTGGAGTTTTTATGGTATTATATAGTCTAACTTGTTATTGAACCAAAGAGTGTTGGGTTGCTAAGCACAGTTTTGTTTTGAGTCTTTTGTATAAGACAATTAATGTTGCTGTACTAGCTTGTTTTATGTAATTGATAGTTTAAATTGAAATAACGGGTAAATAAGATTAATATGTATAAATCGCCAGAACTTTTACACTTTTATTACTGTCCTCACTGAAATATACATAAATGAATATATCTAATGAATACGAGTTGTTTTATCAAACACTCCAGCTATAAAAATGCTACCGAAATTTATATATGAAATATTATTACTGATAACTAGGTGATCAATTACTCAATATTTAGTTTCTTAAAAATGAACATAAACATTGGCAGAAGCAAATGCTGGAGTTTTTATGGTATTATCATTATGTATGACCCCCCCACACACAGATTCAGTATTCTAAGTCGCGCGTGTGTGTGTTTGTGTGGAAATAATTATAATAATTTGTTTTAATTAGCTTCGGACGATATTTACAAGTTTCTCCATTCCAAAGAAGTGTTATAACATATGAATTATTACCGTATGTGTTATATGAAGATGTGATTTGTACTAATTAAGTGCTTATAATGAATAAAAATACAATAGCATAATATAACCTTTGTTCTGATGTAAATTTTTATGAAAGCCATCAGTAATTTTTTTATTTTTTTATTAGACTACGAGACAAAGGATTCAAGATACGATACAATGATAGGAACCGGTTTCGATATTCAATCTGTTACAGAAGAGAAGATAAATATAAACAAACACAGTGGAGGTAAAACAGTAAAACCTTATATTGAAAACACAGGAGGCTTGGTTGGACAAGACCAAAACAAGTCAAATAGTTTATATGGAAAGACAGTGAAAACTCCTGTTCTTAAAGAAACGGTGAAAGAATCGGTTCTTCTGAAACTCTTAAACAATGGATTATTGATAACACCACCTGGTGAGCAAGAAGCTTCAACTCGTCCTGTATCAAATAAAAATGACGTTTTTCAATCCGCAGTTCCTTCTTTCAATAACCACGTCATACATAAAGCAAAAACGGTCAATACAACTAACACATCGTCTTACGACAATACCTTTTTATGTTCCGAAAGTGACGCTGCAACTCGTTTAGATAAAAAACTAGGTAGTAGCGAACGAAAAATAAACCAAGAGAAGAAACATATCGAGACAGAAAAATGGCCAAGTTTCCTGGAAAATGAAGAAATTGGATGCACGTCAATAAAAGATAAGATAGCAAGGCTCAGACGAGAAATATTTTATTTGGATTTGATGGCAGATCAAAAGGAAAAGGAGAAATTATTGATTGAACAATTCAAGAAGCAGAAAGAAGAAAAATTAAAACGCATATATCAGAAACAAACCCTACTTTCCAATTTAACAAATAAAAAAATGCAAAAAGATAAAAGAATAGCAACTAGTCCTTTACCATTGGCACTTAGTATGAAAAACCAAGGGGAAAACGTCAAGAACGTTTCAACCAATGAAATGGCTAAAGATCATGGTAATTGCTTTCCAAATGCATTAATTGATCAGCCAATGCCTAATTTATATTCCCAGAAAACGTGTGGCTTTCAGAATAATTATTTACTAAATGAATTTTTAACTAATAGCTCAGCTACTCAAAGAGCACCGAAAGATATTCAACGGCAGACCATTACAGCGCGAGATTTTATGGCAGATGTACAAAGTGCTACATCAATTAATTGTGAAACAACTCAAAGCACTACTGTCCCAAGGAGTGATAGTCAAGTTGCAAAGTTTTGTAATTCTCCTCGCAGAGTTGATATCTCCAAGAGCTCTACAAGTACATTATCTCTCGACCATTATCTCGAAAATCTAACAAACGTAGAACAGATCAGTAATGTCTCACCAAGAGGACTTACGAACAATAACTCTAGGCAAACCTTGGGCCAAACGCGATTTAGAAAAATACGTCCAAAAACATTATCCACAATAGAAACGGTATTCTCGCCAAAATCTAAACATGAACAAAACGCTACTCTATCTGCTGGAGTGAATCAGTCTGTTACTCAACAGCACTTACCTTTGTACCAGGGAAAAATCAACCCTTTTCAACAAAAAGTACCTGCCCCTCAAGGAAAATCTTCTGGTAATTCACAACAAATTCTGCTGCCGCCTGGAGACTTTGCTGGTATTCCACAAAAGGTATTGCTGTCTCAGGAAAATCCAATTAGCGTTCCACGACAAATACCGTTTTCTCGGAGTAAATCCTCTGGAAGTTCACAAGAATTATCGCCGTTTAACGTAAAAGTCACTGATGTTCCACAGGAAGTGTCCGTCAAAGAAATGAGCTCTACAGCTAATCCACAGCAAGTATTGCTATCCCAGGGGAACTCCACTAGTTTTCCAAAGGACGTGCCATCTTTTAAGGAAACATCCAATAGTGTTCCCAACCAAGGGAGCTCTTTAGATTCCAAAAATATATCAAGTGGAACATCAATTAACAGCCCAGTGTCCGCGGATCAATTACTTTATATTCCCATTGAACTTCAGTGTTGGAATTTTCTTTTAGCCTGTGCACAAGCCATGGCAAACCAAAACTCTCTTCTTAGTCAAGTTGTGGCCAGTAAAAATCCGTTTCTTAGTCAAGACCTGGGTAATGTAACATCGAACTTTAGTCAGTCTTTGAACACTGAAAACCCACTACTCGGTCAGATTATCGCTAATCAAAACACCTTACTCGGTGGTAATGTGTCTCTTCAAAATACGTTTCCACTACAAGAAAATTCAAAGCTTTCCAAAGAAATCTTTAATAACAAGTCAAATAAGGTAAGATAGAATTTACGATATTTACTCTACCAATAACGTGATCCTATTTTCTAACATGTTTTTTATATTACCAAAAATTTATATGCAATTCTTAATATTTTTGCGTGTTCCTTCATTTGAATTATGTGGATGTAATTTTAATGCAGATATAAAACTAACCAAATTCAACGAAAATGGAGTTATTAGGTGATACCCGGACATTTTTCATTTGTGCGTCGAAATGATACTTTATAAGCATGACTTATTCAACATGTCACAATAAGCAAGTTTTCACGACGATTATCTAACTTATGTTGGCCAGGATTTACGACGAAAGGATATTGATTGTGCCATCGAAATGAAGTTGTCAGACTTTATGCAAAATACATTTGAGTTGTTTATTTTTTTAAATAATACTATAATGGTTAATTTCTATCTCTTGATAGGGATTCGAAAACAAACGTGCCATATTCGACAAGTTTTTGTCTTTGGGGAAAAAAAATTGTAACAGTGAAAATGTTTTAAGTATAAAAAAAAACTTGTTTACTTTCAAACAGTAATTAGAGTAGCAGCGTCTACCAAATTATATGTTTGAATTTAAGGAACTTCTTCTGTGTTCGTAAAATGTACCGTCAGATACGGCATAAAATAAACTTGTAATCTCTATATTAACTACAATCAAAATAATGATGAAAAAACAAGTAGTTTTTTCTCAAAAATATTTTTTAAACATTGCTAACAAAGTATTTGTGAATATTAATGTAAATTATATGCAGTTTTTGAAAACATTTGGTATTTTGTTGGGGGGTATTATTTTAGGAGTTTCTCAACTAAGCACACAAAAATGATGGTTCAATAGTTTTTTTTTTTAAACCATCCGAGATATTTATTTCAGTTATTTTTAAGTTGGATGTTTCTATAACATCATTTTTCAACCATTAGAGCTTAACGACTGAAGAGTCAGCGACGATAGTGGACTCTCCAATAATGTGTAAACAGTCACCACCTGCCGCCTGTACTACTTCAACAGCTGTATCTGATAGTCATGTGGATGCTAGTTCTGCAAAGAAAATTACTGATGCTTCAATAAAGTCACCTGCGTGTGGTGCATGTGGTGCCAAAGACCCTTGTTACATATGTTCGGGTTGCCAAAAGGAATGGTACTGCAGTATGCTGTGTCAGGTGTGTAGAATTTGTTTATCGGTACACCAGTATGCCATGTAATTCATTAGTAACAATTTACAGATCTGTAAAATTACAGTTCAAAGATATTTTTGCTCGAGCACAACAATACGCTATAGAAGTATTATATAATTCCCCTCTACCATTGATTATTTGTATTACTAATATCAATATAGTTTTTCATATCGATAAATATGTTTAAGATGGTCGTCTTATTTCTTAAATCAATTATTATTTTCCCCCACAACGTCATTAATAATGCTTCTTACAAGCTAAGCCAGGGCAGCTTATCTGAACGACAGCAATAATGCAATGAAATAACTAGGCTGAATGACATTTTGTTGTTAATGTTACGAAATAACTTGTTATACCCGTAAGTCTGAATGAACCCACGGTGTTAAGGCCGAGCGTCAATCACGATAAAACTAGCTAAACTAGCATTGTACCCAGAACATCCGACAAACTAAATAATAATAAAAAACAGGATCATTAGAGTTTTATGAATAGAAAAATTTACAAATCTTGATTGAATAAATACGCAATAACACAAATATTACCAGAACTCAAAATAGTCCCCCCCCCCAATGTAGCTTTGCTCTGAAATAAAGAAATCAAGAAACCACAAGTAAAGGAACGCAAATACATTCAAAAAGGAATGGTCTTAAAAGTGTTTAGGATATAAAAGTCTCAGACATTTTAGATTAATTATGTATTTAAAAAGCCCGCTGTGAGTTGTGCACTCAAAAACTGAGTGACCACTAGAACTGGAATGTAGAATAACATCATATTTATTCCGCTACAGACCTTTGTTTTGTAGCAGTCTGGAAAATTATTTTTAGCGTGAATGTCTCATCTGAACCGTAAAGATAAGTAGGAATGATGCACGTTTTATCTGGTCCGCTAGTAACGGATCAATGTCTCGTTGGATTGTTATTCTGGAGAATATTGCATTCCTTCCATTAATAGTTGTTGTTTATTTTGTGCTTTTGTAATATGACTTTGCCAAGGGATACGACAAACTGTTTGGAAGCCATTTAAGCAAATAATACTCATAACCTGTTTTAAACAGTTTGAATTATTCCGAGATGATCTGAAACAGTGCGTGAAGAACAGATAGGGACAGGCTATAAATTCAGTTGAAGTTTATTTAAAAATGAATTGGAAGTTATTCATGATGAGGGGTGTACAAACAACAGGTGTCAAATTCCTTTAACGGAGTCCAGGCTATAACTGATATCAAAAGCGAGTTCAATACCTATAAAATGGGGACCAAGGTGTGTGTGTATGTGTTATCTAGTTCCGCAATGGCTATTTGCACTAGTTCTACGTAATTATGTAATGATAGATTAGAAGGAAAGAAGCTAGTCAAAAACAGTCACCGCCAATTCTTGGGCTACTTTGGTCGAATAATGGGATTTGTCCATCATTCTTTTAACGTATCCACGGCCTCAAGATACTGAGCACGATATTTCAACAACGGGACGCGAACGTTGGACGACCAGAATCACACTTAGACTAGTTCCAATCGAGTTTGGATCAGACTAGGTACAAGACACTAAGCACTTCCTATTTGTTGAATAATTACTTTATTATTTGTTTTATACTCGTTAGATTTGATTCATATCTAAAGTAATACTAATTTAAACATCATTTTCTTTTGTTTGTATTTGGTTTTCCAACCAAAACTTAAAATACATTCGTCTAGCAGCTAAATTTTTTTGTGATGGAAACTCTGGTCTTATAACAAAGTAATTTATACAGCCATCGTTCCCGCCTTATATGAACCTGTATCGAAATTTAACTCCAATTAATCTCAAGGTTACATTTCAAGCATCAGTAGATAAAACCTATATTACAGCCAGGGTAATATCACTTTGAGCTTACCACGACTCTTTTTAGTTACTTTGTTTAGGATTTGGCAAAAATGTACAAATACATTTCATATTTTTTCTTCTTCATTAAATAATCATATACATTTAAAAACAATTAGGAAAGTTGTTAGGAGTCGGCCGAGGTTCGTCTGTTTGCACCTAGTGACCAAAACCAGTTGTTTTAGTCCAGTTTTTCAGGGTAATTAACTCTTTATGGGCGTTTGTTGCTGTTCTTGATTTTGATGGGAATCTGGGAGGGTCGGATGTTATGTAGACCCCTTCCTCCCTCTGGTACTGATGCTGTGATCCGTTTAATCCGGCACATTTAAATTAAGACCACTGCTAATTGCTAAAGAACACATAAATAAGGTTTCTGTAATTATGTAAAATTACTATCATGATTATATTACCCCCTATCAGGGCCACGTCCATTTATGTTCAACGTTGAGCATTTCATCTGGCACACACTTTGCTTCATTTGGAATGTAGACAGTCTTACATTACACAGACGGTTCCATATGTTCCAATGCTTGTTCATTCAATAACATAATTAGTATGCATTTGGACCAGGGAGGGTCAGGTTCAACGTTATTTTGTTTGCACTGTTACTGAATCTTAGTTTCTTTGTTGCATTACTCACAGTAATTATCCATTGTTCGCAGTTTTTAATTAACACACCCTTTATCATATTAACTTGTAATATTAAATATATTTTCACCAGCTACACTTGTGTATGATCGCACTATTAGTCCGTGTTCATAATACAGTTCCACTAAACAGTCATATATACACTCACACAATCCTATTTATACATACAAAACCCTTTTAAAATAACTCTACGTTTGTGTGTGGGATTTATTTAGCCTAATACTGTAGGGCCTTTAAGTTTCTTATTTATGACAGTAAGAGGCGAAAGGTACTTAGGGCTTGATTCGACAACAATATTAAAAATGTTTCGTATTCATCCATCAATCGGGATTTAGGATCAAGTGCATATGACATCTTCCTCATGGCGACCACATAATGCGATTTGAATTTCCCGCTAGAAATTCGAATCGAGCAAAAACAATTAATCGAGAGACAAAGCTTAATCTACACAAATAACGATCTGAGCCACAGATTCGTATCCAACATGGCGTATGTTGCTATTCAAGACATCGGTAATATTTGCAGTTGAAATTATTTTCTATATATTATTATTATTGAGAAAACGGATCCAAAATAACACCAAATCACTCGAGTGTTTTTACACTTGAAGCTGCAATTAAACTTTTGCAATCTGACGATAATTCTGGCTCCGAACCCGAATTAGTTGACGATGATTTTGAGCGTGATATGACTGAAATAAAAAAAAATACTCCCCTAAAGGGGTAGATGCATCTACTTTTTTTTTTTCACGTCTAGCTCAAACCAAAATACGCTCCGCGATTTAGGGCCGTAGACGCGTTACTAAAAAGATGGACAAATCCCACAGTTAGAATATCGCGAATTTCGGAAGCAAACAAACGATAGCTTCTTTAAATGTTTTAGTTTTGTAATTTCCAGTTGGTGAAATTGTTGTAATAAACGTCAATTATACGTTGAATAGAGGTTTAGACAGTCCGAAGTTTTGATTCTGCAATATAATTTAATATTTTCGAAATTATCAGTCGTAAACATTTACGCAGTGCACAATGGTTACCAAGTCGTACATTTCTAGTCCTAATCACTTTTATTATTATTATTATATA